TTTCTTTTTCTTTTCTTCCTGCTTTTTCTTTTTCTTTTCTTCCATTAAATGTTCATCCTCTTATGTTTCTTGTTCTTCCTTCCTGGGCTCGTCCCCAGTGGTGGCGGCTCCGTGGGGCTCTCTAATTCCTGGAAAACCAGAGTAGAAATATCTGGGGTCCAAAGTTTTCCATGTGTGAGCTCATTTCCACAGGCCATGTCTGTCCCAGTCCCAAGATTTATTCATATTTTGTTGCTGTTGAAATGCATATGAATCTGTAGCAGCAGAACTGGTCCTGGGTAGTCGCTGTCGTGCTCTGGCGCCCTTGGCGGGAGGGCGGCGCACAGGGCAGCCACAGCCCCCACACGGCACTTCACGGCCCAACCTAGGCCCTGCTACCGGCCGCTGTTCCTCTTACCGTCTGGTAAGCGCCGGCAGCTTCCGACACTGCACGTCCCAGCGTGCACCGCGGCGCAAACGTTGGGGACGGTGGCCGGCTGGACCAAAAGACGCTGCGGGGGCGCGCGGCAGACGTCCCGCCTCCTGGGCTGCGGCCTCAGTCTGCAGGCTGCGAGAGCTGGCGGAGGCCCGGCTGGGTGGCGCTTCAGGAGTGGGCTCGGCCTCCGCCTCCCCCAGGCCTCCCAGTGCTGGGGTCTCAGCCGCTGGGGCGGCAGCAGAGCCGGGCTGCTGAGGGGCGCCGAGGCCGTGGCCTGGCGCGTCAGGAATGGGAGTCGGGTTATCAGCCCGCGGGTCCGCGTGGGGACGTGAGCAGGCTGGGAGCTGACAGGTCCCTGGGGGCNCTGCGGGGCCTCCCTCCCCCTGAGCTGCCTGGGAGCACGAGCTTCCAGAAGGACCCCGGCCCCTCACCCTCCAGTGACCCGCTGGAGAAGGGGCCTGAGCCCTCCTTCCTCGGGGCACAGTAAATTATACACGGACTAGAAATGAATGTGCAGAATTTCCTTCATTCATAAAATTGTGGGTTTTTAAATGGGTTAAAACATATGACACCCCAAAATTATAACTTNGAACCCTCGGGCGGGAGCGCCGCCGCGCTTCCCAAGCGGTGCACTATCCAGTGCGCCACCGGGCCGGCCCCACATTTCAATTTTCTGAAATTTACTTTCATAGCCTCTTACGTAAGTTAGGAAGTCAGCATGATTACCTAAAAGTCTTCTGTGTTCCTAAGTTTGTTATCATTCTGTCCCAAATGCACAGGGAGTCTCAGTTAGTCACCTCTGCATATATGCTTCATCCCACGTTGCTGGATCCCTAAATTGCCTCCCCTGTTTATCTCCCAAATACAAACAGGCCCTCGGCCTGAGATCTTGCAATGTGGCTGCTGGGACTGTCCATGCACGGGTTAAAACCTGTGCTCGCGTGTCCCCGCCTCCAGCATTTCACACTCTTAGTTTCCATCCTCTTGCGATGGCCCCAAACCATCCTAAATCCTTCTCTCCTTTCTACTCTCCCACTTACTCCAAACCAAGCCACCCTGGTAATCAACTTAATTGCTTTTTCACTCACAATTCTCCTTTCTCTTTTTCTTTTAATCCCTTCTTCCGTTGGCTCCATTCCTCCCCACTGCACTGCAGCTCCATTTGCAGATAAGAAATTTCTCTGTCTCTGTCTCTGTCTCTCTGTCTCTCTCTATATACATGCGCCCAAATATATATACATATACCCCCTTTCTTTCACGTTCTCACTTTCTCTACCTATCTGTTCATCTAGCCATCCATCCGTTCATCCGATCTTTCATCCTTCCATCATCTGTGTTCATTTATCTACCTACCTATCTATTGATGGATCTATCTATTTCTCCAAACACAATTTGGGTCTTCATTCTCTTCTCACTTCTACACTTTACTTCTAACTTCTATGTTTTCTTGGAATACTGTACCGACCTCTCTTCTCTTGCCAGAAAAGGTCTCACTCATCTGTCACCTGCTCCACGGGCACACCTTCCTTTTCCTCCCAATGAGGGGAGAGGTATGAGTTCCTATGATACATGTCATATGGTTACAAATGACCTGGAAGGTCTGCTGTGCCAGGAAGCAGCCCACAGAACGTGACTCTCCCTGAACTTTCTGAGCAGACACGCCTGGGGAACAACACCCAGCCATGTGTCCTAGGCAGTATATAGCACCAAATTCCTCTCAGGCTATGTTCGCTCCTTCCAATTTGCATTCCCTGCATCTGTGTGACCACTCCAATGATTTCAGAAGTGGCCGATTCACCATTACATTGTTACTCAAGGTCCTTGTTCCAAGGATGTCCTGGAACCTGGCAGATGTGTTATTTCCTAGCCCCCACACCGAGCCTGTGGGGTACCCCCCCGACAGCTGCTCTGAGTGACCAGCTTCCACCTCAACAGCAGGGCCTTGATGACAACTCTGATGGGAGAAAGCTGGGCAGAGCACTTGGCAGGACATCTAGGACTCTTAGTTGGCTACAGACGCCCTTTTCCTCTGGGAACACACCTGTGATTTTTAGTTCTTCCCTCAGAAAACCAAATGTCCAAGCTGCACAGACTTATGAGGGTCATCAGAAAATTCAACTTCAGACAACATGTTTGTATTCAAGCTGATTTTTCTACAGGCAAGAGCAGTCTCTTTCTTTAACTGGTGAACTTAACATTTTTTTTTTAACGGGAGATTTTATCTATGCCCGTTTCTGTGTAGACATTCCCCAAAGACAGTACCCCAGACAACTATTCAGTCTTCATTAGGTTCCTCCAGAGGCTTTTACAGATGTGAATTGCAAAATTATTTACAAACTGTGTGCAGTTCTTGTTTGTTTGTTTGCAGGATTCTGTGCTGCTAATTACAGAATTTATTTTTAAAGAATGAGATTTGTCTCTCATTTTTGTAGCTCTGATAAAGTAGCACAGAACAAAGATTCAAACCACATTTGTTGAATAAGTGAATGATGTCATTTCTGAAGAGAAGGGTAATAACCTGGGCAGAGGCTCAACCTGTCCCTGACACTGATGGAAAGGATGGCTACATTTCTGTCCCTCAGAGGCTCTCCCTGATGTCCCCATAATGCCACATATCAGAGGCTGCCAATGGGCTGCGGAGACCAAGGGGCTTATTAGTGATGGCTCCAGAGCCAAGTCCAGTGACACCCAAGAGAGCAGGGTCACCGTCAGGAGGAGTTCTATGCCCTGGCATCATGACATCTGCTCACATCCACATTTCCATACTCTTCCTTCCCTGAGTCCATCAAGGCCCCCATGAGCCAAAGCCCATCTCCACCTGGCCCCTGACCCTCCACATGTGCTGAAGCCCGGCCTGCCCCTCTTTGACCCTTTTCTGCTTCCCCCATTGACTTGGCGTGGACCACAGTCTCTCTATGTGACCCCTGGCTCTGTACCAGGTACTTGACTTATTCCTGCCTTATCGTGGGGGGGTAGGGGGTGAGTGGCTGGCTAGTACAGGGATCTGAACCCTTGACCTCAGCGTTGTGTACCTGTCCTCTTCAGATGACATTTCATGAGACACCTGCTCTTCTTTTGCCCTGTAAATGCATCTCGCCTGGTCCAGACCACCCAGTCTCCCTTGGGGACGGATAAATAGTCACCCCTGCCCCTCCCACCCCACACTAACCCATGGCAAGGGCTTCTCACCTCCTCCAGGTCCTGATGGTTAATTATTCCAGGTGGGAAATACGTTTGCTGCTCCAGTCCCAAAAGAGGGGATGTCCTGGGCAGATAGAGTCCCCACCTGTGAGAGTGTCAGAGAAGCTTCTCCAAGGTTGTTGAATATCCCACCATCTTGTGGTCCTGCAACACCAGGGGTGGCAACATCCCCAAGGTCCTAAAGGAATACATCTGTGGTGTTCTTTCATGTATCAAAATGCGCTACATAAACACCTCATTTCACTTTAAAACCTTTCTTCTCAGTGTCATTACAGTCACAAAGAAAATGTTTCTTTATCGTCACTGTAATCCGATCTTCAGATGCTTGGCTTAGGGCATCTCAAGGGACTTTTGTCTGCCCTCTTTCCCCACTCACCGTTACATGTATGTTACATTGCTTATTTTTTTCCTCACAGATCACTTAGACTTTCATTTGTTTAAAAATAATTAATCTCTCTGTTCTTCATATTGGATGATTTTGACTAATCTGTCTCTTTCTTAAGTCATCTTCAATCTAATTTGATAACTACTGACTTTATTTGGGATATTACACTCTTTACTTCAAGAATTTCCTCTTGTACTTTCTATTTCTCCACTGAGATTCCCCATGTATTCACTCATTGTGACTCACTCTTCTATTAAGTTCTGGGGCATCTTAAAAATATCTGCTTAAAAAGAAAAAAAAAGCTCCTCCTGATAGAGTTTGGATGTGTTGTCCCCACCAAAACTCATGTGGAAATTTGATCTCCAATGTGGCAGTGTTGGAAGCTGATTGAGTCATGGGGGCGGATCCCTCATGAATGGATTAATGCTCTCCCTGGGGATTAATATTCTCATTCTGTTAGTTCCTGTGAGAGCTGGTTGTTTAAAAGATTTTGGCACCTCCCCTCTCTCTCTCGCTTCCTCTCGCCCTGTGATCTGCTTGTACCAATGGCTGCCTGACATTTTCCATCGTGAGTAGAAGCAGCCTGATGCTCTTAACAGATGCTGCTGTCCCAGAATCATAAGCCAAATAAACCTTTGTTCTTTATAAATCACCCAGTCTCAGGTATTCTGTTATAGCAACACAAAGTGGACTAATACAGCTGCTTGGGAATCCTTGTCTGGTATTTCTGACATCTAGGTAATCTTGGGTTTGGCTTCTATTATGTGTTTTCCCTTGACCACAAATCACATTGTCCTGTGTCTTCAAATGTCTAGTAATTTAGGATCATCTAATGAGCACTGTGCATGACAAGTTGTAGACACTATGTTGTTTTCATCTGTTTAAGTGTTTTTGTTTTTACTGTTCTACCAGCCAGTTGATTTATTGGCTTATCTATTTGAATGTGTGGAGTCTAAGTTTCTTGCTTTGCTTGAAGAGGACTATTATCAATTTTTACCTTTAGGAATAATCTCTTAGTCCTGGGACATTGTCTTTATTCATGAGTCATAGCCTTTTGGGAGTTTCTATGTAAAGACCAATGTGCTCGCCCAACTCCTAACATGGGACTTTCTTGTGGTGGACACGTTCTGAAATAGCTCCTCTGTTTTGGGGTTTTCTTTTTCTGAGCTTTCCATCTGTTGCATTTCATTGTGCTCTTGGAGCACGACTTAAACAAGCACATTCAGGAGCCATCTGAGGATTGTGAGGAGTTAATATGTAGATCTTGAGAGCCCTCTGGCTGCCTCCTTCTGGGATCCACCCTCAATCCCCAGCCCTTACGGCAGCCCTCAACATCATCCTGTGACATCTGAATCCAAGAAAGACTACAGAATCTAATATTATCTAGAAGACAATATTTTGGAAGGATGCTTGTGTTAAAAATTTATTTATTCATGAAACAAATAACTTTATTTTCTAAAGTTATCTATGAAAATGCCTTTATGTCCCTGACAGTTCTATGTTCTGTGTCTTTCAGCTTATGGTTTTTTCCCTGATGTTTCCTCATCCACATGAAATATATTCTCTGGAACCTACAGAAATACCTAAAAAATTTTGGATTATTAATGACCTACATTATTGCTTTTACTTCTGTACTTTACTATTATGTATATATAATTTTATATTATGGTAATAATACTTGAGCTGTTAATTTTTGCCAATTAGTGGTCTAAACACTTTATATTGATTAACTAATTCAATCTTCTCAGTGTACCTATGAGGAATGTAATATTATCATTTCAATTTTGAAGGTGAAGAAAGTGAAGCTACTTCAAGAAAATGATGAAAAGCACAAACCTTTCACTTACTGTTTGTGTAACGTATGCCAAGACCTGTTTCCATGTAGGGTGTACAGTGG